TTTCGTGCGGCGAATGTTATGCTCCTGGTATTAACTCACCAGTCTCTATGCTATGGATTCGCAAGTGACCTACCAGGCCGATGTGTGATATGAATGTGCCTTGGCGATATGGCAGGATAGATCGAGAGCGGCTGTGTCGGTCTTGATAGTGGTGCTGCTAGTGTTCACCCTACTGCTTTTGCGTTGCTCAAATGGGCTTCACAAAAGGCACACTATTCATTCGAAAAGTATATCTCCTTGCGATTGGTATCTGGGCACAATTACCTGAATTCTTTAAATCTGGAGAGTTAGTTGGATCGAATGGCGTCCTCGGTGGGAACTTTTATTTTGTCCCTATTCTGTGAAGCCCTTTGAATTGTCTAATTGTCGCACTTGTTTATCTTTCGCCCTGAGTTTAAAAAAAAAGTTTCCTTCGGCTTCTGTTTAGGTTTTATAATCTCCCCAACGTCGACTTAATCCTCCTGCTAACAAAGAAACTTGGGAGTGGCAGCAAGTTGATCTCGCTGGCAAAACACTCCTGTTCAGGAGTGGATTTTTTAGCTTCACTATTTCGTGCGTGGGAAAATTTCACATCTTCCAAGCGTCACCCCTATATACTGGGAGGAACTGTAACCAATAACAATATATTGGAAAAACAAAATCGAGATGGAGCTTAAGAGAATCCAGGACCTGCTTCATGAGAACGGGTATCCTGAGGTATTCATAACAAAGATTATTTTGGCGAGAGAGCCCACCACACCAACTGTGGAGAAAAAAGATGCTATTCTACAAAGTCCCCTTTCAAGGGGATGCGGCAATTGAGCTCCTAAGAAGAGGCCTCGATCAAGGCGTGTCACGAACCTCTCCTGCAGAGAGAGGTAGGTAATATTCTCAACCAACCCGGCCCTGCACGGTGAACCAAGGATAGGTTGCCAGCTCAAACCACCTCCATCTGCATCTACTCGTTTACTTGCTTATGTGGAGCAGGTTATATCGGTCGCACGAGTCGAATTTTATCTAAAAGAATACGGGAGCACCTCCCGGCATGGCTGAGCAAAGGTGAAGTCAGCAGTATAAGTACTATATTCGTTCGGTGCAAAGGTGGTGATAGTTCTATGCCAATAACTTAACGGTATGCATTTTTTATGCTGTTACGTAGGACTCGCCTTCGTAGCTTACTTTATTGATCTGCTAGTTTAAGGTGACCCGCTATGTTCTTTAACAACGGGCTGAGTTCTAGAGTAAAATCTTATGTTATAGTATAAGTATTCCAGCAAAGAGAGGGCACCGTAGTGTAGCTATTTCTGGCTTTTTGGCCGTCATCAGCTACGGGTAGCCAACTCTAGTGTAGCCGCTGAACTTGCTGCCACACTCGAGTTTTGAACTCGCGTCTCGCCGGTCAGAGGCAGACGTCCTAACCATTGAGCCACAAGAGTAAAATTTTTTGTAGTCCGCTAGACCCTCTAAAAACTCTCATTTTTTTAAAATACGGCAGTTAATTACCGGCTATTTGGATAATTTGCGCCCTTTTGTCTTGTGCTACTAAATGAACAACACGCATTGCCTTTGGTGTAAAGCTAGGATCTCATCAAATTCAACCGAAATCGCGAACGCGCGGCTAACCGCTCTGCTCCAGCCAAAGAAGGCGATACCACGGTCCCATCCACAGCAGAAACGGAGGCCAAGGGCGTCGGACTTTCGGTGGACGATGTGGAGACCCTGGTCTGTCGTATCCTCGACTCCAACAAGAATGCCAACCTGCGTCTGTTCACGGATGCTGAACTGAGCAAGGGCCTGCGACACTTTGTCGACCAGATCGACGGCAGTGGAATCAAGACCGTGGTGGACGCCGTGGTCGCTAATACTCAGAGTCACCTGTGTGTACATCAGTGCACTGAGGAACGAGTCCCCTCTGAGGTCGCCCGCTACATGCTTACTCGAAAGCGCGAAGCTTCCCTCACTGGAGGTAAGGCTGCATTGCTTGCCTTTTGATCCGTTTGCACCTTCAGAGCGTGTCCTTTGGAGTTCGCATGATTGCGTTTTGTTCCCCTTTGTGTCCATTTACATGAATAATAAAAGACAGCGTAATTGATTTACTGCTGGACTGCCCGATCACCTTGTTGAGCATATCCATTTGGGCTCGCCCTCACTATGTCTGTCTTTAGCTAACCAGTTAAGTATTTTTCGCCAGTTAGAAGAGTTAATAGGTTTCACCACAATATCCCATAAGCTCAGAGTTCCGCAACACGCGAACGATAGCAATGCAGAAAATATTCATTTTGCATTTAAGGAAGGCATACACAAACAACAATTTAGTCTAAGAGGAACCAGTCGTTACAACTATTGAAAAGCAATGTAAATGATACTAGCTACATAGTATATACGTAGATACTTCAAGAATAAGGCGTATCGATCACCGGAATCATGATTTTATTCGTCTGAGCTTTCGAACGCTTGCGGGAGTCCATCATCAGAGATAAAACCGTCAGGAGTCCGAAAACTCAGACGAATAGAATTATGATTCTGGTGATCAACACGCCTTCTTCCTCTCTGTCTATACACATGCCTGGGGTGTGAACATTTGCCTCAACCTAGATGGCTAAATGCAACATAAATATAGTATTAATGAAGTAGCTTTTCATTAGTTGTATCGTCTGGCTCCTGTTCAAATATGTGTTTTTCGGCGGATATGCTATCTGTAAATACGAAGGGCAAGGCTTTCATTTTTTCAAGAAGTCAAGATAGGCGAACGAACGTTTTCGATTAATTCATCA